ACGTAATTACGTAGCTGTCTATGTACATATGTAACCTAAAAACGATGATTCACGTCGCCGTAACCACTGAATTGTTAGCGTTTTGATAACAATGATGTTGCGATACTAAAATAACTGTTTCGTATTCATGTGTATTTTAAGATTGTTTATTAAATTAAAATAGTTTAGCAATTATTATTTAATCGTAAACAATGATGAGCATATGCAAGGTCAAGTCTATGGCATAAAACTCATAAGTATATTGAGTTTCGGTCGGATCAATTTATTAAATCTCATTTTACAATCTGTCACATTTGCGGACTCGTTATAAACCAAAGACCGGAGCAGTAGTTTTGGTCTTCATCTGATGTATACAAAACTCGGTAGATAATAGGTACGTATTATAAGTTTAAGATTCCGATTCCGATTATTAACCCTGTTTTTGTCCCGTCTGCGAGAATTAAATTAGACTAATCATGGATTTCACCAAGCCCCTTTCGTTGGAGAAAGAAATTTTTTGGCACTTGACTCCTTTACATCGTAAATACGCAACCGATTATAATGAAATTTTATATACACATTGACAAGGGCACAGCAAAGGACATAGGGTACTTCTTTTCCAGAAAAAAAATCCTGTTCCCAAGGGATAGAGAAATTAGTTTTTTATGATCGTTAATGATCTTAGCACATCAACGCGAGTAAAACGTGTTGTACATATAAACCCAAAGATATAAAAGTTTATTTGACCACAAAAAGTTCCTCTCAGATTTTTTAGGAAAACAATATTTATAGTACCTGACTACAAAACACCCTGTTTGCATAATATAGTATAAGTAGAAAGACTGTTAAACATATATTTCTAAAAAAAAAATTATCGTAATAGTCATAAAAATGCCGTAAATGGAATAGAATGGTTTCAAAAGAATGTTAATCATTATACTGCTAGTAATTTTATCTTGTTATCATTATGCAGTCAGATTGTTCATTCATGTAATAAACTAAATTGTGCACCATCCCACGCATTTATGAATAAATATTGTTTATGGCACTGATTCATTCATTAAAAAAATTAGATGATAATAGAGTTTCGTTTTAAAATGGTGACTCATTAAACATAAAAAAAATTGTAAATAGGATATTTTACCTGACAATACAATTAACAATTGCAAATCAGATTGCTAATTAGTACCCTACTAATCTATTAATTAAAAACGTCATTTAAGTAATTGTAAAATTTATAGATAAATAAATTGGACATGAAGAGATAGTTGTCAAAAGTGATATTTCTTTAAATTGTTTATTGATTACATCAACTGTATTTATTATAAACAATTGGAAACAGTTTCAAAAAATTACTTCTCATCTGCATGTATTTATCTGACGTTTCACTAGCTTGTTTATCACTACTTCTATTTCGATCTATTTTTAGAAGATTATTNATTTATTAATTTATTTATTTATATAGGTATACTTTGTATTATGCATGAATAAGATACAATTCTAGTTAGCATTATTACGGCAGTTTTATGAATTATGTATTAATGTAAATGGGTACATAATACAAAATAATACTCAAAAAAATTCTTGAAGCAGTTTATGATGAAAATTTCGTCACAGTTAATTATGATGATATCTAAAAATAGTAAATTACAGTTTTCTATTTCATTGAAACTAATTAAAAAATAATTTTGAAAGTTAGATAATACCGTACTTATGCATACTAATACAAATAGATAAAATGTGGCGGAGGCGCCAGGCAGTGTATTAAGTGATAAAATACTTCGTAGTACATAACATTATGCTTTAGTAATTATTCCACTCAATACTTCACGAATGTGGTCGAACACAGACATTGATTTCTGTCAAAGGTCTGCAAATCGTTATTACAAACGGCTCTAAGCTCAAAACCCTTTCTCACAAACCCTTTCTCACAGTGTTTCAGTCCCTGAAGCCCCAAATACATTTATAAACCTAAGGACTTGAAGCCCATTGAATTGCAAATTACAAAGCGCTTTTATAAAGTAATACATTTATCAAGCTCTAAGTATATGTTCATATGAAACAAAGTAGATTGCTTCTAGGGTTGCCACCTTTTCAAGCTTTACATAAAGTATTTCTCGACTAAATGGTTCAAAAAAAAGTAGTCAGCATAAAAATAAGGTATTTTATTTTTTGTTTTTAAAAACATATTTTTTGTTACACCTTAGCAGCCAGTAACAAATTGCTGTCGCTCTTAAATATATTAATAGCCTCTAAACACAGCAAACAAAGATTTAAGTAGACTAAAAGTCCATTTTTAATTAGTTTTAATGAAGCTTTAGTCCTGTCGTCTCGCCACTTTGCGTTCATAACAGACGGTACTCTTTCTGTAAATGCTGAAATGGCCGGAACGGACAGCAAAAGTGACACTACCTTGAACAGATTTGGGAAATCAGGTTGTTCCGTAAATATGGCTTGCCATTTTTCTCTGCAATATTATTGATGTAAAAGTACTCTGAATTTCGAATGATCGCTTACAAAATTACGATGTTTACTTAAGGCCTTAAATAAAGTATTTTTGCGTACTTTATGTATCTTGTAAAGTATAACGTACGCACAGTCGAAATAGAGTACAATACTTTATAATAAAGTACGGGTGGCAACCCTGGTTGCTTCCAAGTCCTGAAAGGACTATTAGAATTTCAACATAAAGCTTTGCCCTGCTCCGATTTCGGTATAAAACCCGTATTGCCAGGCATGAAAAAGCTTGTTAAGGATTTGAAAATTTCGGCTTTCATAATGCCCTGATTTGTTCTGGGCCTGTTTGGACCCTAGCAAACGATAAGACCAAAAACAATTGAGGTCAAAGCTTCTACCGTGTCGAGTCAAATCTAATATCAAGAGCGCTTGTGCGACCTGTGAATCGGTGTTTGCAAAGTTTTTTTAGAAAGTTCGCGTTCATCCGCTGTCAATAACTGCGCGTGTTTTTTCTCATTCCTTTTGTAGTGTCGGTTACCAACACCCCAAACCGAGCTAACTTCGATTTCGAATGGTTTTTGCACTGTACCTACGTATTATTGTTATCGTTCTTCCTTGTGCTTATGGGTGTTATGTCCAGGTTTTCCGATAAGGCGCGCGGAAAAGCTCTCATCTGCTGTTGCTGGCTTCTGGCATGATATCGCGATTCGCGTTTTTTAGCCATTCATCGACGCGAATTGTAGGCGGTCGCGTTTAAGCGTCCTTGCCATGAACATACACATTCACACTTACACACAAACATATAAAGAACGTGCACGAGAGAGTTTCTTGTTAGTTTTAATCGCAAGTCCAGTCCGGTCCAACGACAACGTCCGTCATGGCCTACTTGTTCATTACGTCCAGTGCGTGACCAGTTATTTAATAATAAAATTATTACTTTTAGATTCGCGTTATTGAACAATACGGAAACGGTCGTGGATGTGGGTGACTTTTGTGCCTTTAGCAAATAAGTGTTCTTGAACTTCTTGTTCAAGTTTTCGAGAGTGAGAGAAAGTGTGTCTAGTCCTAATAATCTTATGTTGTTACGAATGAGATGGCCACCTTGCAAAGTTTTAGAGGAAAAACGAAGGTAGATACAGTTTTGTATTTAAGCAACAAAAAATAATTAATTGTTGGCGTCTGTCTATGTAGCGATCCTCCATATTCAGTAATAAAAAAAAGATTCCAAAAATATTGTACCTTTACTGTCACCGGTGTATATTGGTCAAACGAGTAGATCCTTTAAACACAGGATCTATGTATAAACGAACAAGTTCGTATGCGAACAATTACATAAACTTGATACGTAAATAATCATTATTAAAGCAAGATCAAGTAAATACATAACACAAAATTATACGGCTGGTATTTTTAACTGAAAATGTTAGTTGCACACGGTTATCACAATTACGAAACCAAATCCGGAATTTGAGGATAAATAAAATGTTCCACGCTGTGACGGTAGCTTTGATCTCCAGTTACTGGTTTTTCCGCCTATTTGATAAATAACGTTAGACTGCTATAAATTATTTTGATCGGAATTAACCATGTTTCGTTAAGCAGAAAATCATCACGTTACGTATATACCTTATAAGTCATAATTTAGAAAAATCGTGGGCACAGTTAATGCTACGGTTGGAGGTTAAAGAACAAAAATAACAACAAACGTTACAATAATACGCTTGTTACTTACGTAGCGCAAAAAGTGAAACAGACTTTGCCAAAAAATTAGTACCTACACCACTAGAATTGTGCCAAAACTCGTCGTTACGTGTTAGATCACAGGAGTAGGTTACATAACACCTTCAGATAAATGAAATTTCCTGTAACTAAGAGTACTTATCCTTAATATTTGCTTTTAAGATAATTTTAAGCACAAAAGTTAAAGGTTTCGCGTCCTACTACTACATGAAAGTTAATAATTCTGGTATAAAAAACAGTTTTACTTTTTTAATTTATTAAAATTCTTAACGAGTTTCGATTTATAAGGCTATCTTCAGAAGAAGGACTAAAAATGGGTCAAATAAGATGAATAATCATTATTCAAATATCTGTCATTGATCTATAAGAGTCCAATATAGAAAATGAATGTGGGAAGTTATTGATTATTCTCTGAGAATCTTCGGTTTTGTTTCTCACAATCCTTTAAAGTTAATGGTTTTTGAGAAATTTTTTTTTTTAAAGTCGTTTAAAGATAACATTCTTTTTTAATTATATAATGCATGTTTTTTTACTTCTTGTGACATTAACGTTAACACTTGACTGATTACATGTAGGTATTTCGATTTCCGAAAATATTTTCCTCACTGCACCACACTAGTGGAAATTCGTGGATTTTCATATCTCAAAATACACATCAATAATAACAATAATTGTTTCGTTCTCTAGAAGCGCGGCCTTACGCGAATTTTTCAAACGATAACAGCGTTTATCTTGAATCCGCGAATTCATAATTGTTCGTGTTTTAGTTTATTGTTACCTTAACCTTGGCGAATAATGTTTTAAGTGATAAGATATCGCTGTAAGCCGCAGTCTTGATGTGACTTTTGTAACGAAAACACAATGTAAGAATCAAGTCGCGAAAATTTAATTCTTGTTGTGCCTTGTGTTTTCCGCGTGGTTTTATATTCCGCCACGCTGATAACATTGCTAACAGAAAACAGAAAAAACATTGACAATATTTTATATATATATATACGTAAATCGAACGGTTTTAGACATTCTGATTCGAGTGAAATGTTTGTTAATTTTAAGTGAACCGCGAGTAAAAACCTACCGATAATGGATAACGAACGTTATTTTTCCGCTGCATCGTACTTAGAAAGAAACACCGACAGTTTGAGGAAGAAAAAGGAAGAATTCGAACAAAGAAGGAAGGAATTTTTTACGTCAGTGGTTGGCAGAGACAGAGTACGTGACATTAAAGCGTATTTTAATACAGTAGCAATTCCTTTATTATTATTGTTGACACTTGTATACTGTTTAAATGGGTTGAAATAATAATTAACAAAAGAATCGATAATTTAACTTAACTTATATACAATATTTTTGTGTAGAAAAATTACCGAATACTTGTCACCAGTTGATAAAATTTATTATAGTGGTTGTAATTTATAGGAAATAATCATAAATTGTGAAAAATAAAACCACGTTATTACGTATTTCATCAGGTTTACTCACTATGATAAAAAGCTCAAACAATTATTGTAAGTACGTATGATACATGGCATACATATGTCCTGCTTCATTCTACGGAACCAGTGAAAGTAATTATTTTGCAATTTGTCACGAAAAATTTTATTGCACATAAACCAATACTTTCGATAACAATTATTTATTGAACAGTACCTACATATAGTTTTCACTTCAGCCGTTGTGAGCATAAAAACGTATGGATATGTAACAGTAATGTGTTGATGTTCATTATTTCTCTATTGTGAGACAAACTTCCAAATTAAGAAAAACTAGACCATACTACATCTTTAACTATTTGAGAACATTAATCTAATCTAGATCTAGAGATCTACCTCTGCTTGCCCTCCTGTACTTCTGTTTCTGCTTCTAATAATATGTTTCTAACTAGTCTTGCATGTATCAGAAAATTCTGAACTTTTTTGCTTTTTTTTTATAGGCGAGTTTTTCTACCTTTATGAGGAAAACAATTTTCTCGGAAAAACTACAGCATTTTAAATACTTATTATTTATGCTATACTATACGAACAAACCCTAATGTATTGACTCTTCGTTTTTGTAGTAATGTCTTGTATTTCTTTTTTTGTATCTATCTCCTTTGAATTTATAAATTAAAATTATATAGAGGTACCTACACAGGTACCAATATTTACACACTTTATTAGCAACATTATACTTTATCGTTTAAGGTATGTTGTTTCTTGTGAATCACTATCGTAGGTGTTACAAAAGTTACTAATTCAATGTTAAAATATTTATACCGGTGTTATGTGTAACAGTTTTCAAAAAAATTTTTCTGAAAATTCGTTGTTAACAATTTTACAATAATCACAATAAGTATAATAACGCTTATCTGCGATATTTACTATCATTAAAAGCACAAAATGAATGCAGGTAGTAAATCTTTAAGTGTATACTCACTTGTGAACAAGTATTTTTTTCAGTGATTAGTATCAATAGTTCTTCTTAACGTTCAAAAATCAGATACCTAAATTAGATAAATAAGATTATTCTTGTGAACCCTTCAAGTGTTGCTGACGTTTAAATAGTTATCAAAGTTCAACAGCTAATCGCAAAATAGCAATAAATGAAATTAATTATATCGAAAGATTACATTTTGCTATACAAACTTTTGAGTTTTTCTTTCCAATTTTTTAATTTTCACCTCTTTTTTTGTTAATAATGAGCAATTTGGAATTCGCCTAATTTTATGGGATTGTCTTTTTATCGCATTATTATTTGGAATGTTTTATTGTTTACACTTTTGTGAAATAGTATTTGCTTACAGATAGTAACAATTTTAGCAAATTTTACACAAAGTATCTTAGTTTTTGCACTTTTATGATTAGATAAACTGTAAGCTGTGTAAATACAATTTAGTAGATTTGTTGTCATAAATCAGAAGAAAACTCCTTTTCATAATATTATGGAACGAATTAAGTTTTGCTTTTCCCAATAACATAATAAAGGATTAATTGTGAAAAATTTATAAGTAATTACTAACTCTTTATTTATTAAAGTAAATTAGCAGACCGTTGATAATTTTGCTTTGGGTACGAAACTGTAAATAAATTGAACGACAATGGCAATGTAGGGTATATATTGTATTATATTGACGAAGTTGTGCTTATACATATGTAATACTGGTGCATATGAATATAAATAATGTAACAAACCTAATGTTTACGACCAGGCCATTAACCTAGTTACATAAATGCACTAGACACAAAATTAGTCTAGATTAGACGCAAGAATCTTGTACACACCACATGTTCCTTCCGTTTGAGAGACAGTTTTAATTTCTTATGTTAATTAATTAAATAATATAAAGTATTGAACCTAATACGAGATAGTACGTACAAAAGAAATAACGCGTGCCACATGCAATTATCATCATTAAAGACAGTACAACTGTAGGGATAGATATACAGGGGCTAAAGGTATTAGTATGCTTAGATTTGCAGATGATATAGCAGTATTAGCATCTGGCAAGGAGGAGTTAGAGATAGCATTAAATAAAATGGAAGCGGTATTGACAAAACAGTACTGTATGAAAATAAATAAAGGTAAAACAAAAATACTGGTATGCAAGGGAAGAAAAGTACGGAAAGAGCGAATATAAAGATAGAAGATGAAAAATTAGAAGAATTGGCTGATTTTAGGTATCTATGTCAGCACGGAAGGAGTAGTAGAGATATGAAGCAGAGGATAGCGCAGGGTCGAGTCGCCTTAAATAAAAAGAAGTTAAAGGTGTATGTTTGGAGTACGCCGCTGTACGGGTGCGAAACATAGACCGTGGGCGCGGTGGAAAAGAAAAGGTTAGAAGCGTTTGAAATGTGGTATTACAGGCGAATGATGAGGACACCGTGGATAGAGAAGGTTAGAAATGAAGAGGTATTAGAAAGAGTAAGAGAACAAGGGACTCTATGGAAGTCAATAAGAAATAGGCGAGTGAGAGACATATTAGTGGCAGAAACGGAGGTTGGGAGGGGTAGAGGTAGACCTAGATTAGATTACTGTTCGCAAACAGTTAAGGATGTCGGTTGTACTAGTTTTAGGGATATGCGAAGATTAGCCCAGGATAGAAAAGAGTGGAGGTACGTGTCCAACCAGTCTTAGGACTAACGACCTTATGATGATCACATGCAATTATATACATTACATAAGTAATTATTTTGCCAAAATTTTATCTAAATTTTTTATGTTGCGGGAAACATTATTTTTGGGATAAATTGGTTCATTACATAAACTGCAGGAATTACTTCCACTTTATGAAAGGTGGTTTCCCGCAATATAATAAGTTTGTACCTTAACCAGAGAAATATTTGGAATTGTTTCAAAGCATTTACCGGCAGGACTGTTGCTCACATATGGTAAAAACTACATGCAGGTTGAACTGCAGGAAAAACCATTTCCGGCGATTCTGTTGCAGTATTCGGTCGCGATGAATCATTCTCTCACACGGTCACCCTTCTAGGAAACCCAATCGAACAACGGTAGCATAACAATAATAGTAACACCAACAATAACAATATTGTGCATTTGTTTATCGACTATTCACGACCTTGCCAGCTGGTTTGATATTATTAGCAAAGTGATGTAACAGCAACAACGGTCTCGAAATGTGTTCTTTTACAATTACACACATACGTAATAGAATCGTCATTATATGATGTCACATTCGTCATCATAGTTCGGTTTAATAAGATAGTTGGTGAGTTAGATCATCACCGGATCGCGCCACTTTCATGAATGTACAATGTCTTAATACGTAATCGTAAACGTTTTATCTTAAATTCGCTAGTAGTAAGATACCTATTACATCACTCATTCTGGTACCGGTACATAATATGTGTAATACATCGTAATTACTATACTACATTCATATAATGTTGCATCGGTTTTTTTTCTCTTACTACAACATAACGACGATGACGATGACGAAAGGCCACGCGATTCTTATGTGAGTCACTGACTCAAGAATTTCATTCATTATTTCTCTCCCGGTCTTTTCTGACTGGCATGTAAAGTGCCGATTAAGTTATATGAGAAAAAATACTATATAGGTTCCTACAGTGTATATCTATCAGAGGTCCTCTCAGTCCGCATTGCCTATTTGACAACTATGCCAAAACAAAAACTTTTTTGAAATTATAGGCATTATATAAAATCTTAGTAACAAGCAACGGAAGCTGCGTGCGCATAGGTGAGAAGTTAGCAGCATGGTTACTTCTAAGATCAATCGCAGGATCGAAACTGTTCTCTGATTGGGTCAAGTTCGCACCTGTGATATTATAGTTATAAACTTCTGGCTCCATCCCAAGTACCGGATAAAGCTCTAGTAGGAAAGTCGTATTGCAATAGTCACACTTGACCCCTGTCAGGTAGTGAAAAGAATTCCCTATTAAGAAAATCCTTGCTTATTCCTATAAGGTCCTGTTAGAAGATTCCTTATTTATCCAGATTTGACCCTTACGTGTCTGCTCTATCGTAAACCTATGTGGAAACCCTAATTTATCCCAGTCAGCCATGAGGGTAAAACGCCTTAATGTTCTGTGTGTGCAATTAATCGGATATTAAATTTTCCTAAAGCTTCTCATTCAAAAAGGATTTCTAAAAGGGAGATAAAAAATATTTCTTTAAAAAAAGCTGATGCCTCGTCAGAATTAAAGGAAGTTCGAAACGGATAACCTATTGAGGCATTATATCTTAAGATATAACAAAATTTCTTTGAATGTTGGTTCAAGACCGTTTACAACCAATTTGCAGAGTTCCGATGCAGACCTTTTCGTTGCTTTTTTATTCACAATTTTTAATAATAAAACATCATGAACATTTGGAGATTATAAACGAAAAATCAGACGAAATAAATGTCTAAATGCTGCAATTGTGTAAGGAAAATGTAGCAGGAAAAAAGAAAAGATACATGGTTTGCCGTTTTTACCATGAACGGAATTTATGTACAGTGAAGTTGGAAAGCAATTTTAATTTTGATGTGAATTAACCTAATCTATACACTCGTTGCATAATCCATTAGTTGAGAATATGTAGATTTCGTGATAATAAATAAAAGGTAAAAATAATAAATAAAATCAATACGACCATCAATTCTTTGTAAATTTTCTTAAGTGTTTCATCGTATCATACTTCTGTTTAACTTTAGGAATCTAGCGATAAAAAAAAATGCTCAGGAAAACCACCGATGCTAATAATATTGCAGACAAATATTCCAACTACTAGTACGTAACTAGTTCCTTATCTGATAAGCACCTAGTATTCAATTGATAAATAGGAAGAGTATTTACACTAGAGTATTCATGGTAATTCAGAGTGAAAATGACATTTTCAGACAATGTGAAAGTAAATTCATGTCATCGAGGTAAATGAATAAACTTAGGCGAGGTTTCTTAATTTATGGTTTCATAAAACCGTACAAAACATAACAAACAGGATATGAAGATTCATGTAGTATTAAAGTATGTATCATATATAACAATGTAAACATACACGCTTTTATTAACAATGAAAATAAAAAGAAAGGAAACAGCGGGTTATTAATCCTACCAATTAAAAGGAAGGAAGTAAATAATTAATTACAGCTTCGAATTAATACCAACAAATTTCATTTCCTTCTGTACAGGAAATTCCACCAGTGGGGTTGTAGATGATCAATTAAATAAAAATCTAGTAGTGGGAAGCCAAACACTGGCTTACGTCCAAAGTTTGGTCAATCCTCAAAAGCCAAGGCTAAATACATTAACGTTTCGCCAACTTTAGTCCAATACAAGGACAGCCTGGCATTGACTTGTCGATACTAGTTCAAAGTTCGGTCAATCTTCAAATGTCAAAAGGCTAGGTTTATTAACGTTTCGACAAGTTTGGCCCAATACTGAGCAGTATTGGATTGTCAATACTTGACTAATGTTCTATCAAGCTTCAAACGTCAAGGCCAAGTACATAAACGTTTCAACAAGGTATATCCCACATTGGGTAACGAAGTATTGACTAAGATGGAAAGCGACGCAATTATCCAATTTTGTTCGTTAAGGTTTGGCATATCTGACCAATCTTCAATTAGTATTGTATTGGCACAATATTGGCTGCCCAATTTTGGGTTAATATTATTCACCAAGTTTTGGCACAATATTGACTACCCAATCGTGGGTTAGTATTGTTCATTATTAGTAGTCCAATCGTGGGCCAACTTGCCAACCAGGCTTGGGCTGAAGTGACAAACCAGGCCCTATATTGATTGCCAATCTCGGACCAAAATTGTACAGTCCTAGACCAAGCTTCCTATATCGCATGTAGGGCATTGTGTCTTGCGTTTTTGGTATAATTTTTGTTAGGTGTACATTCCCCAATTGATCACATTATTTTCTATTATATAATAACCTTCAGAAAGACTTACAACACTCCGTATATAAAACTTAATAGATTTCTCAATAGTCTATACAAGTATCTATTCGCTTATTAGCATATTAGTGTGGGTGTATTAAATGAATACATTACAGTAACGATAATATTAAGCATCTTATACATTCGTACTTGTAGCCTCATACAGCTTTAAAAATATTGAAATGGCCAGTAATATTGTCCACTTGAACAAATAATGGCGTACATATATAATTTTGAATTGGAGATTCGTATGCAAATTAGCTTTATTGTATGAGAAAAAAAATCCCTCTTGGTTCACCTTTTGACCATTGGAGGAGTGTTTATTAACCGGTAAGTGGATGTATAGGCCTTGGCATATTTACTGAAATATTTCAGTAGATATTAATTTCTATACAGTTGGCCGGTCTTCTCGCGAATAACAATATGTTAAAATAACCATTAAACAATTGTATAATGTGGTTCCCAAAACATCCCAAGGACTACTACAGACACGCCTGACAAAACGAGAGATTGTTTATAAAAGTAAACAATTACTTAGGCGTGGTAATAATAACCACCTTAATGTAAAAGACACAATACAAATAAGTATAATTTATTGCCAAAGAAATCAAAATTTTTGAGCCTTTTGCATAATGACCTTTTTTCGAAGCCTTTTTATAAGCATTAGGTCAGTAATGTGGTCGTCACATTCTACGCAAAATATCGAGTTTTAAGGTCAATAGACATTAGTTTCCATAACCGAAAGTTTAATTTGTTCATGTTGTGCGGATGTCAAGCATAATTAATATGCTGATCGCATTTGTTGACACTATTGCGATTCGATATTCGATGTTTACTAACAGACTCTGTATTAATTTTGCAGATGGCCACGGAATTTCCGTCAGAAAATGGCGCCAATGCAGATTTAGCGACGACGATGATGAATTTGAAAAACAGACCTGGTGCCGTGGCAGTCACATCTTCACAGGTTAGCGTCATTTATTTAAAAATTTCATTTCCTTGTCGATTTTATCCTTCACTCTGTATCCCATTTTTTTATTCGGTGTTTTGTCGCAGTCGGAACTTTTTGAAATAATACAAAGTGGATAACGTTTAGGGTTCATCATCACCTTCCTAATAGTTCCATCAGACACTATATGATGAGACATTCTGTATAATTAATAATTGAAATTGACTTGGTAATGACCTAGATGATGACCCCCACCCCCAAAGTGGGTGGTGGTGGGGGGATCGAAAGAGGAGGTCTCCCCCACCACTGTACCATAAAAAGTTCGTGGCGGTCTCACCTCCATGAAAAGTTATGGGGGTTCAAAGTTAATAAATATGCCAATTTTTATACATTTCTAGGCATGTAAATATTTATATAGTCTTTCTTAAACAATATTCAAAGGTAAAACTAATGAAAAATACATAAAAATATTGAGAAAGTTCTATAAAACATTATTTAAATATCTTTATCAATAGGGTAGGTTAGATTAGGCTAGGTTAGGTTATCGGGTTTTGTTCAAGTGACCACCCTCTTTCGATCCCCCACCTCCACCCGCTTGAAAATAATTTTTTTATTGAATTTTATTTGAATTATAGTGTATGAAAATTATCAATAATCAACTTTCAACCCCCATAACAAGTGAGAGAGGGTGAGACCGCCGAAAATTTTTATGGGGTTTTACTTAGGTGACCACCCTCTTTCGATCCCCCCAATCCCTACCCCCGAAGGGGGGTGGGGGTCATCATCTAACACCCATAACTTTTTATGGGGGTGAGACCGCCACGAACTTTTCATGCTACAGTGGTAGGGAATACCTCCTCTTTCGATCCCCCCCCACCCCACCCCCAAAGGGGCCATCATCTAGACCTTTATCATTAACTTTTATAAGTCGAAATATCGAAACCTAAACCGTTTTTTATCAATTAAAATTCAGACAGTTTTATTGTCGAGGTAGTAACAGTAAAATATCATATTATGCAGTACGAAATAATGATTATTATAATAATTGTGGTTTTTCCAGTACAAAAATAAACGGTTGTTTGTTGAAAGGCTGTTAACAAGTTTATCTATCTACATTTTTACGACAGTAATTAATTGATTGTGATTCCATGTCGACCATCGTTTTTGTCTGCGAATACACAAACAACTGTTTACGTATCTACGTACTCGACGGTTACGGTGCTTGGATCAAATTAATTCTCCAAATAAAATGATAAACGTCGAAAAGCAATGGAAAAAGTTCGAGTGTTTGTCATATCATTTATCGGAACAACATGTGTATTTTATAATGTGATAGTAAATACATCGTAGGTTTGTTTTGCTTCGTCTAAAATTGATAAAAAAGAAGAAGAGGCGTTTGAGGAAATTCGTGAACGTGACAAAATATCTTTAATAAGTATTAGTAAGACGAATCGATTACGTAAATCAATCGATGTTTTTGTTGATACTTGAAAGGGCTTTTGAAAATTATTTCTTCAGAGAAATCCAGATTTTTGGAAAATCAGATGTTAAAGTAATTTAGTAACCCATTGCCACTAACAATTTAGTATCCGTCCACATTCTTCCATTTCCTTGTTTTCCATACAACCCCCTAACATACATCACAGATACATTCTTCCTTCCTCAAATTCTTCATCATCTTTCGTCTCATATTCAAATTCTTTAGTCTTTAAACCTCGCCATTTATCGCTTCCTTTTTTCCTCCTAAACATTTTTGTGCAAAGTTCCCTTACAACGAGTCTTACATCAGTAACTTTAACCCTACTGCATATTTTGAATCTATCATTTTGTCTAACTTTGCAAAAAATGGACCAAATTCCTAGTCTATGTATAAACATTACAATCTCAGCAGATTTGAGAGAAATTTTAAACTCCAGTGTGGAAATTCCTGCACATTTTCCTCAGCTAAAGGCCAGTAACCTTGGTATATCTGCTAATTTTGTACCAGTTTAATATGTGTAAAGTCGAGTATAGACATAGAGAGATGAAGTAGTAATTGTAAGCATAAAAGTGCTTCTTTCAAAAACGTTTTAACATCGAATTTTGTGAGTCATACAACTTTATCAGAACAAAACACTTGTACCGAAATAACCCAGGCGGTTTATTTATAACTTTGTTTTCTGTCGTTGTTCACGTAAATTGGTTTATTTCGAAAACGACTTTACTTAAAAAGGTTTTTTACACTATGTATTTTTACGTAATATTTAAAGGGACTGTCCACAAATTATTTAACAAAAAATTCATCGATTTTATAGGACGCCATGTATCATTAATTAAGTTTGTTGTTCCATTTATTTACTGGTTCAAAACTGACAGCTTCCCAGACCTAAAATAACCCTTGATTCACCTTTGTACAAGTAATAAAACCGTAATGCAGAATCCACCAATTTTCGTTAACTATTTTTGCTCCATTATCAAGAATTGCAAAGGAAATGTATTTTCTGAAAAATGTATTTTTATCTGTGGTAATAATTTTGTTCTAGAACTAATTCCTTGATTGAAATACAATTTTATGATCGAGACGAATCTATTTTACTAAACTAACCACCCACCATGTCTCCTTTAAATGAACTTTAATTGTCTATTAGAAATTAAATTACTTTTTAAACGAGTTTTTAATTGCAACTATCTACCTCAATCGTAATCAATTTCAATTTTCAAAAATTCAATTTGAAATTGGTGCATATTCTTTCAGTTTCGTACTGTTCTATGTTTTACTACTTATTTAAATACTTCATTATTCATCAGTCCTAAGACTGCTTGAACACGCACCTCCACACGCTTTCCTATCCTGAGCTAACTTTCGTATTTCCCTAGAAATAGGTCTACCCTTACGCTGCAAAGAGCGCATGTTTCTACATCTAATTTGTCTCTGACTAGCTCTTGATACAACATACTTTTTTATTTTAAAAATTATTACTAACTGCAGATAATGCGACTATAATTTTGAAAATGGAAGGAGTGGTTGTTGCATTAAAATCTACTAACGCATCGAGTTCTCGGTTTTTTGATTAATATAACAAGTGCATCTTCATATCTAATAATAAATTCAGAATTAATATATATTTACCAAATACACACTCATATGTATACAGTTAGGTCAGATGAATCATAGAATCCAACTGTTGATAGATACAGGTTGGTTCATTTTTTGAAATACTTGTTTACTGTTTGCATTTGCAATATATTTTATGATTCATAAAATCGGTTCTGCAGATATACATATATTTTTTTAATTGTTTTTAACTAAATTTAGTTACGAATGCGTCTGCATATGTAAATTTTTGCCGAATGATATGATCATTTAAAATTCTATTGCATCTCTAATAGCAAGTCATCCAATGAATACAATACTAATAGAAATAAACGTAGGTGTTAAAAAACAGGGCGATCATCAAATAACTTTCTCATTTCCATTTTCCTAGTAGGTAGGAGGCATTTGAAATTTATCTCAAGTAGTAATAACACATTGAACGTCATATTTATCAATTGCTTTCTCTGTAGAAATTCAAACACAGTTACGAAATACAACTTAAAGATTTTACTAACTTATTTGAAAATATTTTTCCTAAATTACTGAAACTAAAATTATTCGCAAAAAAAACAGGGTTAATAGGTGATTAAAGAAACAGTTTTTAAAATATTCATCATATAAATAAAATAAAAAAATACGCACATATGTAATTATGGCAAATAAGGCTAAATAAATATTTATGACCAAAATACTGTTATTGTTTTGTCCGAAAAATCTAGAACAATACGCACAAATATTTGTGTAAATATGATTGGTATTTAGTTGGTGAAAGTTCATATTCAATTTGTTTAAATAAACAACTTGTAAATTTTTTACAATGTTTTATTTAGAAACAACAATCGTTTCGTTACGTAGTAGCTTTATCAAGTTATATTTTTCAGGAATGGTAGCCTTTATGTACCTATGTATATAAAAATTAAATTGAGGATAAGGGATGAAATTTGAACATATTTAAAAGTAAGGAATTATGTAATTTTATTTGGCTGTTTAACAATAAATCTGAATTGTAGTTTCGCTCTTCATGGTCTTTTATTCTGATACTAAAAGCTCTACCTGTTTGTCCAATGTAACATTCATTATAGATATCTAATTTTTGTGAATTTATTATTTTAGATAATTTTGCCTAAGTTTCAAACGCGCACTTATTTACCTTTTTGAATGATAATTTCTGGAAAAAACTAAAACAAAGAAAGCAAAAGGAAATCACTCTCCCGAATGTTTTCAAACTAAACCACGCGCGTAAGGTCTGTTTCACCCGTAATGTCCAGTCGTTGTCCACTCATTACTAATCTATAAAATCTTGTCATGCTGATGTGGTCGTTCCCGTTGTGAAATTTTATCACCTAGTTTACCATTCCGTTTTTTCCCACAAGTAATCGTTTGGCCCGAATCCAGGGAGCAGAATGGTCATTAAATATAGCCTAAAGCATCATTTCCCTAAAATACCCGATGTCTCACACCGTCATGTCCCTTATTATTAACAGAGACTTTAAAAATTAGTTGCAGACGAACGCGCAAAGTAGTGCCACGAGTAGTCGCGTGTCCAAAACGGTGGTGTCCTCGACCTCTTCGAGCTCTCAACGGGTTCACGTTACCTCATCTTCAACGACCGACAGGAAGGCATCTTCCATGAAATCCGACCTCAACGAACTCAAAAGTAACATGAACGAAATGAAGAGTTTATCGAATATTAACGCTTTAAAACAGGTATGTATATGCATCAACGTACTGACAGAGTGTCTAGAATGTAGATTTTATTTTTATAATTCGACGCATTATTAGTCAGTTGGCAGTATTTTTTGTGCGCTGATGCGCCAAAGAATTCACGAGCTTGCTTTAAGTAGGATTATTGTCATGCCGAATTAAACCACCGGCTAATACGAGTTACAATCGACATATTGCTTCCGACAGCTCAAATTTGTTCTCAATCAAAGTTCGGAAAGATGACACATTTTTGAAATATTTGTTTGAAAATCGTTTTTAATTTGAGATCAATTTTTATTTCAGAAGTTACGAAGTTCGCTAGAAAACCTAGTGGACAACGAAGAAGAGGACATGCCTCAGCCTCTTGTGACATTCCCTGATTCTGACACCCCTCCCCCGGGATCGGAGGTTACATCTCCCGTTAGCAACCTAGACACCCTCAAATTTGAACAAAGAACTGTTAATAATCTTAAGGCGAGTAAGGTGAGAGTGTCTGCACTTTTTTTTTATTAATCACACCTCCCTCCTTCCTTTGGGACCGTCATGGTGATGGAAATATAGTACGAAAATTTGAAACCTTCAAGCTTTTTCAATTTAATTTCTTAATGGCACCTACTAATTACATGAAAACTCCTTTTGTGCATTAGAACGTCCTGCAGGTTTTACTATGTGAGATCAAAGAAATTCCATTGACTTTTTTAAATTTACTAACTTCTTTGATTTCTAAATGTGTTTCGCTGTTTACCGCTGATGAATTGGAACTCTAATTTTTTTCTATTTATGTTGTAAATTTTGTGTGACTAATCCGTAAGCTATCTTGAGTGGTTGCGAGCCAAACAAGCAAAAATTTATTTTGACAATTTTTTGGCAAGTGTGATGTGTATTGTAATTAACAGTCTCGCTAGTTAATGTCGGTACAAACTACAGACGTATTTTAACACTTTTTTTGACGTACTGAACAAAAATGTTCCGTTAATTTGATAGTCATTATGCTACTTTTTATAAGCTTGTAACAAAAATGCCAAACGAGAATATCTCCACAGTAAAAAAAATCGTCTTCACAAATCAGAAATTTCAATAGCATCTATGTTTAAACATGATTCGTCATTTTCATTATTTATCATTAATCTTATTCCTACATAATTTAAATATAACTGGCATATTTTGGTTTCTTTTTGGTTAATTTGACATTTACTGTCACAGCAGTTTTCTCTTTATCTAAATTATNGCTTTGTAAACAGTAAGGAAAATTTTTGGTTTTTGAAGTATACATGATGTCCTAAACATGTTTCAAGAAAATTAATCCTTTTCTTGGAATATTTTAGAAACATCTTATTACTTACATACAGGGCATTCCAAGAAGTTGTCGTAAGTTGGAAGAAAAAGGTAGAAGACCTGAAGGGTTTTTTATAGTATTAGATTGTAAATCTGTTCATCTCATTAAATAGACAGTTGAATAAAAAAAAATAAGATCTTTTACTATCTTACTTCCTCTTGAAACTCTTCCTTGGAATAGTCTGTACGAGACCTTGTTTTGAAACGAAGAAAATTTTAGATACAGCATTTTCGGTGATATTTTTGACGAAGCTGTTAGATTAGGATTACCGGCTGTTCAAACCCAGCATCCCGGAGTTTATTACCAACAAGCAGCCCAGTATGCTATTCAAAGAAAAAAATCGTGTCTCGAACTTTGCAATGTAAATAATATTTCTTTAGTAGTTTTAAATGAAATTTATTAAGGGGATTGTTCCGTTTGGTTTAGAACGTCACTGCATATCCTACAGCTCCAGATCCCCTTGAGGGTCTGGACCATTTAGAATTCTACGGGCAGAGACCCTGGAGACCTGGAAAACTGAACATGGACAATCCGGATCCCCAATTGGAGAAAAAAGGAATCCAGGCTCTGCAGTTTTTGGAAAAACAAGTGGCTCATTCCGTAAGTAAATTTCATGAATTACAACCATCAAAAAATATATTTAACTCAATCGTAAATAATGTTTTTAACTTTAACAGAATCTAGGTAAGTACTAAGGTAGTGTTTACTTGATCTTAAATTTTAAATATTAATCTGAAATTTCATTTTCAATTTTCCATCCACTACAAACTACCTCAAGATAATGAGGGAAAATTTTTGTTGCAGTTGTCACAATTTTTCTTCATTAACTTGAGGTAGTTTGTAGTGGATGGAAAATTTAACAAGGAATTTTTAATTAATATTTCCCGGCATCAAATTTGATAAATCTCAGTTACTGTTCGAACTTTTTGATAAATTAAAGTGAATAAACAGAATTTTTTAATGAATTTATAGGTTGTACCTCTAAGTATTTAATTTTAATTTCAAATTCCTAAATTGCTAGTTTTTCCGAACGTGGCATGATGTTTGACTACATTTTTGCGATGGAAATTATTATATTAGATACGCAAAGCTGATAATAAAGTTGCAATTACATAAAGTTTTCATCTTTTATGACGACGGAGGACACACCTCATAGGGGTGTGTGTTTGTACATGCAGTATTTCCTCCGTTGACCCGAATTCCGAAACGCGTTCAGGTCAAGGTTTATCGTCTGTCAAAACGTTGCTACATGACTGCTGGCTAGATAACGTGTTCGACTCCACTTTCAGAGTTGCTTTGTTCATAAATCAATCCGCAAATGCGGTTCTTTTATTTTCGTTTAATATTTTACAACATTTACTGTGGCACAATGTATTTATTACGCGTCTGACATTATAAAATTATAATAATTCCTTTCAAAAGTTAAATTTTCTTGGAAACTACTAATGGAAATTGACGTTTATTGATTAGCTACGACTATACATTATGACCTTAGTTTAGCTTCAACATTATCCCAGCGCGAAATAAATGCATAATGTGTTTATCAGTAAAACACAGTTCCAGGAATTGTCGGTTTGTAAAGAACAATATGCGAAAAGTTGAGACTAAATCTGGACCGGACTCAGGCTTGGAATTAAAATCTTACTGATACTCAAAGCCTAGAAGGGCAAAATGGTGAACATAAACGTGGATAGTTTCGCTTAATAATTCAATAAAAATTTAAACGCCTCATTTAAAAACCAAATAATCGTTTCAAATATTTTCGAGAAACGTTAAATAAAATAGCTGCCCACGAGAAACCAGCCGAAGCCGCTTTTAGAACTAAATAAAACGTTTTATTAACAGACGCTAACGATGTTTGGCTCTAAAGGTTAAAATAACAGTAAAAATATTTCGGAAAATCTATGTGATTTTCATCGGATAATCACTACATAGTATAAAACAAAGTCGCTTTCCCGCTGTCTGTCCCTATGTATGCTTAAATCTTTAAAACTGCGCAACGGATTTTGATGCGGCTTTTTTTAATGGATAGAGTGATTCAAGAGGAAGGTTTATGTCTATAATACATGCATAATATAGTAGAGAAACACTGATCATTTTAGAGATTTCTAATGTGATGTCGTAAATAAACACATTTTTTTGCGCTTACATTGCAAACGCTGGCTGAACCCTACGAGATAGATCAAAATAATGTACTACAATATTTGTCACCTTAACACCGTTTCAAGAGATGACGTCTGCTTAGATTACTATCTTTCGATCTCCTGGGAATGTAATGTGTTATCATACTGATGTAGGTACATTCTACACGACACTCTGTTCGAAAACATTATAGTCTTGTGTTGAAGACGTACATATACGGCTGGTAAGTGGAGGCAGGTACGTCGACAGCGGAGCAGTTAATCAAACATTCTCCGTCTATTTACTCTCATAATAACGTTAGCCATGTTTGCTATTTAATGTTAGTGGGCACTACAATTTATATGAAATACGCATTAGCCAGTGTTAGAGGTGGCTTTTCTAATGTTTCAACAAAAGCCATGAACGAAAAGGGAAATGTCAGACGAAATAAGAGGATCAAACACTTCTCGATCTTTTATCGGAGTGTATTTATGTTAAACTGAGATCTCATTAAGAAAAGGAAGACGGACAAGTCTGAATATTGTTAAGGATAACTAGAAGAAGACGCCGATGTTTGATATCTAGGAAGGTAGATAATTTAGGATGGAAACAGGTGTAATGAGATAAAACAAGGAATAACGCAGGATCAAGTAGGTTTTAATAAAAAGGAATCAGTTGGACATGGATAGAAAAGGTTAGAAATGAGAAGGTATTTGAAAAAGCAGGAGTGCAGAGGGTGCTGTGTAAATGTCAGTAAGGAATAAGAAAGATGGGATGATAGGATAGGATAGGACACATGTAGTGACAGATTAGAAACAGAAATAGGAGTAAACTGAGGCAGAGGAATACCTAGATTAGAGTACTGTTTGCCAATAGTTATGAATGTAGAATTTCATAAAATTCACTGAAATATAGCATCAGGATACGAAGGGTTGGAGGTGTAAAATATGTATATACCCAGCAGCACCTTATCTATCATCATGCAAAGTAAGATGGGGCAAATACTAATGATTGGGGGTTTGTTTTTTGGAAAAACGTTTGCGGGTTTTTTTCATAGTAAATTCATGTATACATGGTGACCCAAAAATAAACGACTACCACCGACTTCAGTTTTTCAAATGGAAGCACCTATTTTTTATTACATTTTT